CTCACATCCATACATGACCATTGGAAAAACCATAGCCTTGACTAGACAGACCTTTGTTGGCAAAGTAATGTCTCTTCTTTTTAATATGCTGTCTAGGTTGGTCATAACTTTCCTTCCAAAGAGAAAGCGTCTTTTAATTTCATGGCTGCAATCACCATCTGCAGTGATTTTGGAGCCCAGAAAAATAAAGTCAGCCACTGTTTCCACTTTCCCCATCTATTTGCCATGAAGTGATGGGACCAGATGTCATGATCTTAGTTTTCTGAATGTTGAGCTTTAAGCCAACTTTTTCACTCTCCTCTTTCACTTTCATCAAGAGGCTTTTTAGTTTCTCTTCACTTTCTGCCACGAGGGTGGTATCATCTGCATATCTGAGATTATTGATATTTCTCCCAGCAATCTTGATTCCAGCTAGTACTTCATCCAGCCCAGTATATTTCAAATTGCCAACATCCATTGGATCATAGAAAAAGCAAGAGAATTCCAGAAAAACATCTACTTCTGCTTCATTGACTATGCTAAAGTATTTGACTGTGTGGATCACAGTCAAACTGTGGAAAATTCTTAAAGAGATGGGAATACCAGACCACCTTACCTGCCTCCTGAGAAATCTGTATGCAGGTCAAGAAGGAACAGTTAGAACTGGACATGGAACAACGGACTGGTTCCAAATTGGGAAAAGAGTACTTTAAGGCCGTATATTGTCATTCTGCTTGTTTAAGTTATATGCAGAGTACATCATGTGAAATGCCGGGCTGGATGAAGCATAAGCTGGAATTAAGACTGCCATGAGAAATATCACTAACCTCAGATGATCATATCAATTGTGATTAAAGATTATTTTAGTTCTTCTTTTCCAATCTAAGTCTCTCTCCCACAATTCCACCCTGCCACCCTTATTGCGCTAACGAGGACATCCAGTGCAATGTTGTGAAGAAGTAGTGAGTGCAGACATCTTTGTTTCTGATCTTAGAGAGAAAGCATTCAGCCACTCACCATTAGTTATCATGTTGGCTGCAGGCTTTTCATAGACGCTCTTCATCAAGTTGAGGAGGCTCATATCTATTCTTAATTTGCCAAGAATTTTAATTACAAATGTTAGCTAGACTTTTCTAAATACTTTTTCTGCATCTTTTTGAAATCATCATATCCAGTTTTCTTTTTTAAGTCTGCTGATTTGGTGAATTGCATTGACTGATTTCCAACCAATCTTGTATTCCGAGGATAAACTCCATTTGTTTATAATGTTACTTATTATCATGTTCATAAGAGAATATTGGTTTGTTATTTTTTGTTTTTTTTTCCCTCATAAATCTTGAGTAGTTTTTTATCTGATAACACTAGTCTCATAGAAAATGGTATAAATTTTCCTGTAAGTACTTCTTTAGCTGCATTTCCCCAATTTTAGTATGCTGTGTTTTCATTTTTTATTAACCAAAAATATTTTCAAGTTCCTTTTGTGACTTTGACTTATGGATTATTTGAAGATATGCTGTTTAATATCCAAGTATTTGGAGGTTTTCCAGAAATCAAGAAATGTTTCTGTTATTTTACTCTGTTCTAAATTATTTCTAGCGGGGCGGGCTCTCGCGCCCTGGCGCACGTCCGGGCGCCAAGACCCTGTCGTTGGGCCTCAGCCCGGGGTCTCCAGCAGTGAGCGAGGCAGCATGTTGAGGCGCAGCTTGGAAAACCGGGATGCTCAGACCAGACAACTGCAAGATGCTGTCACCAATGTGGAGAAACATTTCGGAGAGCTGTGCCAGATCTTTGCTGCTTACGTGCGGAAAACCGCCCGACTGCGAGACAAAGCGGACCTCCTGGTGAAAGAAATCAACGTGTATACCTCTACTGAGACCCCGCACTTAAAGCAGGGCCTGAAAAACTTTGCGGACGAGTTTGCCAAACTTCAGGATTATCGACAAGCCGAGGTTGAAAGACTTGAAGCCAAAGTAGTTGAACCCGTGAAAGCTTATGGAACCGTTGTAAAAATGAAGCGAAATGATCTCAAAGCAACATTAACAGCAAGGAATCGAGAAGCTAAACAGTTAACTCAGAAAGAACACGTCAGAGAAATCCAACTGATCGACATGTTATTTCACAGGCAGAAACTGAATTACAAAGAGCTACAATGGATGCTACCCGAACAACTCGTCATCTGGAGGAAACTATTGACAATTTTGAAAAGCAGAAAATAAATGATATAAAGACTATATTTTCAGAATTTATCACTATTGAAATGTTATTTCACGGCAAAGCTTTAGAGGTCCACACTGCTGCCTACCAAAATATACAAAAGATTGAAGAAGAAGATGATTTAGAGGTTTTCCGACATTCTCTGTATCCCCAAGATTATCCATCCCGTTTAGATATTGTAAGAGCAAATTCGAAGTCACCTCTTCAAAGATCATTGTCAGCTAAGTGTGTATCTGGAACAGGACAGGTATTGACCTGTCGACTAAGAAAGGATCAGCAAACAGAAGAAGATGATGAAGAGGATGAAGACTTAGATGTTACAGAAGAAGAAAATTAAATTTCTTAAGTAAACTTTGCATTTCCATTTTCATCTTAAATGACCTGGAATCCAGAATTACTAAAACTGAAAAACATAATACTGGCTTGATATGTTAAACCTCAAATGAAATCCTATTGGAAATGTAGAAATTATTAAAGGAAATTTATGCCAACCAAAAATGGAAGTTTTAAAAAATATTACCCATCAGTCATTTCAACATTTCTATCTAGCATCATACTATCTTTTTTATAGGTGCCATTGTTTTTTAAAAACAATGTACTTTGGAACTGTTTCAAATTAATGCACTAACCTAGTTGGTTGTAGTAGGTAAATAACAACAAAAAGAGATTTAACAATTCCACTTACTTCCTTTAGATTAAGACACCATGCTTTCAACACCAGAACAGGGTCCTAGATAGTCATTCTGATTAAATACAAATTTTATTCCATAAAAAAAAAATAAATAAATTATTTCTAATATCATCATGATTAGAATTAGAACGATTAGGAATATCATCATTCCTTTGTATGATTTTAATTCTTTTAAATTTATAGATATTTATTTCATGGCCCAGAATATGGTGTATTTTGGTGAAGGTTTTTCATGTGCACTTGAAAAGAATCTGTTTTCTTTGGTTGAGTTCAGCGCTCTAGCCAATTATGTCAAGTTGGTTGATAGTGTTACTCCAACCTTCTATAGCTTTACTAATTTATTGTCCACTTTAGGCAAACTTTCTCTGGTTGTGGCCAGCAGGGGCTACTCTTTGTTGCAGTGTGTGGGCTTCTCATTGCTGTGGCTTTTCTTGTCGTGGAGCACAGGCTCTGGGTACACAGGCTTCAGTAGTTGCAGCTCACAGGTTAAACAGTTGTGACCTGCATGCTCTAGAATGCAGGCTCAGTAGTTATGGCACATTGGCTTAATTGTACCACAGCATGTGGAATCTTTCTGGACCAGGGATTGAACTCGTGTCTCTTGTATTGGTAGGCATTTCTTTTCCACTGCACCACCAGGGAAGTCCAGTAATTTTATCATATTTGATGAAGTTTTTCAATATAAGAGAAAAGGAGTATAATTGTGGAATCAGGAACTTAAGTATAACTTGATTGGCAACATCAATATTAGCTTATTACTTTGCAGTATAAAAATGTAATACCTATCATTTAAAAAATTGTGGTAAAAATGACATAAAATTTATCATCTTAACTATTTATCTTGACTATTTTTAAGTGTATAGTTCAGTAGTTAGTTAATTACTTTTTAAAGAGGTTTAAGTAGTAAGAAGAACATTTACTTACACAGTTACCATTTTTGGTGTTCTTCATTCTTGTATGGATCTAGATTTTTCTTCGAATCACTTTTCTTCTTCAGCTTTTATCTATCTGAAAAGTTTTCCTGCCTTTTTATTTTATTTTATTTTATTAATTAATTTATTTTAATTGAAGGCTAGTTACTTTACAATATTGTAGTGAATTTTGCCATATATTTGACATGAATCAGCCATGGTGTTTGGCCGAGTTGGCTGATATTATTTTTTCTTCTCAGGATATTTTCCTGCTTCTTTGAATGCATGGCAATTGATTACTACATGGTAGACACTGTTAATTTTATATGATTTAGAGCACTGAAGTGTTTTTGGATTCCTTTAAATATCTGGGGGATTTGTTCTTGTATGTATGTGGTGTGTGCTCAGTTGCTCAGTCATGTTTGACTCTCTGCAACTCCCTGGGCTGTAGTCTACCAAGCTCCTCTGTCTGTGGGATGTCCCAGGCAAGAATACGGGAGTGGGTTGCCATTCCCTTCTCCACTGTTCTTATACACTGTCAAGTAAACTTGGATATGATTTGAGTCCTTTGAGACTTGCTTTTGATATTTGTTAGATAGGTGCAGAATACTTTTTAGTGTAATCCTTACATGTCAGTTTCTTTAGGGGACATAAAAAGGTTGAGAATGGTATAGAGTAAGTCTAGAAGGTCGTATTAGTGAAGTTGCTTCAGTCGTGTCCAACTATTTGCGACCCCAAGGACTGTAGCCTGCCAGGCTCCTCCATCCATGGGATTTTTCTAGGCAAGAATACTGGAGTGGGTTGCCACTTCCTTCTCCAGGGGATCTTCCTAACCCAGGGATTGAATCTGGTTCTCCTGCATTGCAGGCAGACTCTTTACCATCTGAGCCACCAGGGAATACCTATGCCTGGTGAATAAGTCATATTAATCTCAAATATTAAAGTAAATGCTGATTTTCATCTCATGTGGCAAAAGATTGTGATTTCCTTGAGGTCAAAGAGAACTTGTCTTTTTCCACTTATATCTTAGATATTAACAGTCTCTAGCAAGCATTTATTAAATATTTGCTTTCTATGTATTTTTAAAAAATAACTGTAATCTTTCATCTTATTTTTGAAATAACGTAGCTATTTTTACTAGTGATAGCAATTTTTGAAAACAACTATATACTTCTTTAATAATTCTAAGTATTTCATCAACTTACATTTGCTGCATCCATTCTATTTTTCTAATTTTTCTTTTCTTTTCCATATCTTGCCTTCTCTTCAGTTTGGAGAAGTGGAATTCACTTTCCTTTTTGTCTCCCATGATCACATTTTCAGCAGGCCTCCAAAACTATTGAGAAATGAAAAATGAATACACAAAATATTAAATTATTGATTGTGAGGTAATCTGACTATAAACAAGAACTTCTGTGTGTTCAGTAGGAATATACCAAGATAGAAATAGAGGAGAGGATAGACCCTTTTAAGATATTTCTAATTGAGTGAATAGCACATTGAGCCTTAAGAGGCACATGCCATAGAAAAACTAAAAAGGATTAGTATACTGAGGTACTATTTAATAAGTATTTGTTGAATGAATAAGTGAATAGACATATTCTAGGGGTGTTTTAGTTTCTCATAAGAACACAGCTGAGCAGTAGGTGCTACTGACTTTTTAAGACTCTAATCCTCAGTACTTTGCCACCAAAGTACTGATGGCCTTTGATGGGAAGAGCCAACTCACTGGAAAAGAAAAGACCCTGATGCTGGGAAAGATTGAGGGTAACAGGAGAAGAGAATGACAGAGGATGAGATGGTTGGATGGCATCACCGACTCAATGGACATGAGTTTGAGCAAACTCAGGGAGATAGTGAAGGACATGGAAGCCTGGCATGCTACAGTTCATGGGGTCACAAAGAGTCAGACACAACTTAGCAACTGAACAATAACAACAAATCCTCAAGGAATATGGGCACCTTCCAAGAATACAGAAGTCTCACCATTGTATCCTAAGACTTCGTGCTGCTGCTGCTAAGTCACTTCAGTCGTGTCCGACTCTGTGCGACCCCATAGATGGCAGCCCACCAGGCTCCCCCGTCCCTGGGATTCTCCAGGCAAGAATTCTGGAGTAGGTTGCCATTTCCTTCTCCAATGCATGAAAGTGAAAAGTCAAAGTGAAGTCGCTTAGTCGTGTCCAACTCCTAGCGACCCCATGGACTGCAGCCTACCAGCCTCCTCCGTCCATGGGATTTTCCAGGCAAGAGTACTGGAGTGGGTTGCCATTGCCTTCTTGGAAACTTTGTGATTTCCACTGTATGATGCTTTATACTAGCTGGTTGCTTGTTTTTCTATTTTCAGTTCATTCCTCCTCCCTAACCACATACACATTAAATAACAAAGAGGAGAGTTTATTCCCCACAACACTCAGAATCTGCCCTATTAAAGCACTGTACTGAAATATCCTGTTTACTTGACTCTCTCCTTAATTAAAAGGCAAACTACTTGAGTGGAGGAATATTTTTATTTACCACTGCTTCTTAAGAATCTAGTAAAATGCCATACATCTAACTGGTATGCAATAAAATTTGTTGACTGAATGAATTCACACTTTGATCATTTTTCATACTTAGTATATTCAATATACCACATTCTACAATCTGTGTATCAGAGACTGAGGGATTTGAATGAAGATACTTGAGGCCATATAAACAAACATCCAGAACTATACAACTAGATAATGTTAACTTTTAAAATATAAGTTTACAAATATCCCTGGATAAAAAATATTTCCACTAAAAGGAGATTAAACAAACATGTCTATAGAAAAATTCTCAAATCACATATATGCATTAGAAACCATGTATATTTAAAATCATTCTGTTCAGTTCATATAAATACATGTTATATTTTCCAACACCATGAAAACCCAAGTGATTTCCCACTAGGGTCTGCTGTTACAAGCTATGTAGAGAAAATGGGATATTAGTCTCAAGAACATCCATTTCTTGTCCAGGGATTAATTAGAGTCAATAACATCTTCAGATTTGCTTTATTATAAAGATGTGTAATTGCTGAGTGCCAGAGAGTATCTAAAGATGGTCTGGACTCAAAGCTGATTATTAAAAGCAGAAGTATATGTTAAAAAAAAAGATATTGCTGAATCTTGAAGTATACTAGTAGCCTCAGAGTAGTTAAGCAAATTTTATCAGTTAAATTAGTAGAATTTATTATTTAAAATAAATTTGAAAATTAACTTTCAGAAAGGCAGATAGGTTTCTAATCATATAACATAGAAAATTATTAATATTTATCTGTTCTTACTGTCTCACAAACAGGCCTCCAGCCATTGTTCTCTATACGACGATACCAGCCACTATAATCCTCTTCCTGAAGATCATCACTTTTAATATGAGATGTACGTTTTGCTGGAAGTTTTGTGTAGTCTCTAGGGCTATTAGCACACAGATCTTCAATATGTCTGTGAGTGAAAATTTTATAGTATATTTCAGGTGGAAATTTAACCTGTAGATGGAAAAGTTAAAAGAACCATGTCAATTTAATTAGGAAAATGGTCTATGTTTTTAAAAATTACATCTTTTAAATTCCATACAAATGTGCTTTAATACTACTAAGTAAGAATTTATCCATACTTACACCACCTAATCTGAATCGTACATTAATACCAGCAGCAGCATCTAGAAGTTCTGCCTATAAAAAAAAAATTAGTCTTCAACATTCTGTATATATCAGTTCATAATTTCTCACTCTATTATATTAAATAGCTACTGAATATTGATTACTTATGCAATAGATGAAGTGAATAAACCTCAAATAGTTAATTTTAAATTAGAAAGTATCAGAATTTATTTTCTTATAGATACTCAATAAGTAAAACAATTTACATGATAACTGGGAAAATGATACCAAACTATGTTTCCTTTCTATGTAATGTAAAAGTTTAAGTGCCAGATGATTTGCTAGTCATAAAACAGAATTTTTTTTTAAAAAAACACCTCAAATATATAATTTTCATATTAAATATTATCTTCTAAGTTGGGAAGATCCCCTGGAGAAGCAAAAGGCTACCCATTCCAGTATTCTGGCCTGGAGAATTCCATGGACTACAGTCCATGGGGTCGCAAAGAGTCAGACTCGACTGAGCGACTTTCACTTTTACTCTAGGTAGATTCAGAGAAAAAAAATGTGAGTAGTAACTCTGAGTTTAATACCAGTTGACTTTTCCTAGCTAAGTTTTGATTTTAAATCAAAAATCCATGTTTAAATTTTGTAAGAATTGTATATAATTGGTCTTCTAAATTTTAGTGCCCCACATAAAATGGAAAATAGAGAAAAACAATCTTGGTCCCCAACCTGTCTCCTGATTATATTAAGTTAGATGAGAAAACAGATGTTATCTTAAATTGTTCAGCCTGAAAAACATTAGTTTTGCATAATTTTCTAACTAAAAAATTAAATACATGCACACACACATGTTCCCTGATTTATGATGGTTTAACTTACAATTTTTAATCTTTATGATGGGTGCAAAAGTGATACATATTCAGTAGAAACCATACTACTAATTTTGAATTTTGATCTTTTTCCAGGTTAGTGATACATTGTATGATACTCACTCTGTCCTGTGATACTGGGCAGCAGCAGTGAGAGAGATAGAGTATACAAAATACTAATATCAGAAATGAAAGACAGGCCACCACTACTGATTCCATGGACACTAAAAGGATAATGAACAAATATTATAAACAACTCTATGCCCCCAAACTGATAACCTAAACTAAATGGGCTGATTCCTTGAAAGACATAACCTATCAAAACTCACATAAGGAGAAATAGACAATCTGAATAGATCAATATCTAAGAAAATGAATCAACAGTTAACCTTTCAAAGTAGAAAACACCATGCCTATATGAGTTCATGGGTGAATTCTACCAAACATTTAAGGAAGACAGGGTAGTGGAAATCACCCAAGCTGAACAGAAAAAAAGAAAAAAAAAATTTATATAAGGATAGCTTAGGAGACCTCTGCGACAACATGAAGCATACTGACATTTGCATTATAGGAGATGAAGGAGAGAAATTGGCAGAGAATTTATTTAAAGAAGTAATAGGTAAAAAACTTCCCTAACCTGGGGAAAGAAACAGACATCAAGTTTCAGGAAGCACAGACAGTCCAAAATAAGATAAACTCTAAGAGGTCCACTACAAGGCACATTTTAATTAAAATAGCAAAAATTAAGGATAAAAGGGAACCTTAGAAGTAGGAAGGGAAAAATAACTAGTTACAGGAAATGGATTGCCCATAAGACTACAAGCTGACTGTTCAGCAGAAACTCTGTAGGTCAGACGGGTGTGGCACAATATATTCAAAGTGACAAAAGGAAAAAATCTATGACCAAGATGACTCCACCTGGCAATGCTATCATTCAAATTTGAAGTAGATACAGAGGTCTACAGGCAAGCAAAAGCTAAAGGGGTTTGGCATCACTAAACCAACTTTACAATAAACGTTAGAAGGATTCCTCTAAGGGAAAACTAGAAATATAAAAACTATGCAAGAAATATGAAGATTATGAAAGGAAAAATCTCATTCTTAAAGACAAATGCATAGTAAAAGTAGTAGATCAACTACTACTAGGTAGTAGGGAGGATAAAAGACAAAAGTGGCAAAATATCTAAATTAACAATAAGGAGTTAAGGGATGTAAAAAAAAAGCTGTAAAATATATCAAAAACATTAAACATAAGGGAGTAACAAGTACAAATTCAGGGTTTTAAAATGCTTTCAAACTTAAGAGATCTTTAAATTTATATATATGTGTGTGTGTGTGTATAGACACACATATACACCTCATGGTAATCACAAGCCAAAAACTTATAATAGATACACAAACAAAAAAGGAGAAAGGAACCCAAAATAACATAAAGATAGCCATTAAGTCACAAGGGATTAGAGCAAAAGAAGAAAGGAACAAAAAAGAACTATAAAAACAATCAGAAAATAATTAACAAATGGTAATAACAACATACTTGTGAGTAATTACTTTAAATGAAAATGGATTAAATGCTCCAATCAAAAGATATAGGGTGGCGGATGCAAAATGGATACAAAACAAGACTCTACAACAGATCCACTTAAGATCTAGAGACACATCCAGACTGAAAGAGAGGGGATGGAAAAAGGTATTCTGCACAATGTAAATCAAAAGAAAGTCAGGTAGGAATACTCATATCAGACTACATAGACTTTAAAACAAAGATGGCATCAAGAGACAAAGAAGGACAATGCATAATGATAAAAGGATCCATACAAAAAGAATATAAAACAATTTTAAATATAGATGCACTCAGTACAGGAACACTTAAGTATATAAAGCAAACATTAATGGATATAAAGAGAGAAATGGACAGTAACACATTAATAACAGGGGACTTTAACACTCCATTTTCAAGAATGGACAGATCATTCGGACAGATCAGTCAGAAAACACTGGCCTTAAAGAGCTCTCTCTCTTCTTCTCTTGATGTGTCTGGATACCGTGTCATCAGTTTAGTGTTTTTCAAAGTAGCACCTCTTAGTTTCATTAATCTTTCCTGGTTTTTTGGGTTTCTATTTCACTAATTTCTGCTCTGATCCTCATGATTTCATTTCTTCTATAAATTTTGGGTTTTGTTTTTCTTTTTCTAGCTCTTTTAGATGTAAAAGAAAAGGTGCTCAACATTGCTAATCATTAGAGAAATGCAAGTCAAATCCACAATGAGATATCTCACACTATCAGAATGATAGTTCTTCTTCGTCAAAAAAAAAAAGGGACAGGGCTCAAATCAACAAAATTATGAATGAAAAAGGAGAAACTACAAGTGAATCCTTTGCAGAAATACAAAGGATCATAAGAGACTACTACAAGCAACTATTATGCCAATAAAATTGACAGACTGGAAGAAATGAACAAATTCTTGGAAAGGTACAATTTTCAAAGACTGAACCAGGAAGAATTAGAAAATATTAACAGACCAATCACAAGTAATGAAATTAAAACTATAATTAAAACTCTTCCAACAAACAAAAGTCTAGGACCAAATAACTTCACAGGAAAATTCTATCAAATATTTAGAGAAAAGCTAACACCTATCCTTCTCAAAGTCTTCCAAAAAACTACAGAGGGCCATTATTACTATCACCCTCATACCAAAAGCAGACAAATATATCACAAAAAAGGAAAATTACAGACCAATAACATTAATGAACATAGATGCAAAAATCCCCAACATAATACTAGTGAACAGAATCCCACAGCACATTAAAAACATAATATACCATGATCAATTGAGATTTATCCAAGGGATATAATGATTCATCAATATATGCAAATCAATCAATGTGATACACCATATTAAAAAGTAAAGATTAAAAACAATATGATCATCTCAAGAGATGCAGATGATACTTGTGACAAAATTTAACACCCATTTATCATAAAAATTCTCCAGAAAATGGGCATAGAGGGAAACTACCTAAATATAATAAAGGCCATATACAACAAACCCACAACTAACAACATTCTAACTGGTGAAAAAGTGAAAGCATTTTCTTTAGGATCAGGAACAGAGAAGCATATAGACCCTTGAACTTTTTTTGGAAACAGCTTTAGAAGTCCTAACCATGGCAATTGGAGAAGAAAAGAAATAAAAGTAATCCAAATTGGAGAAGGAGAAGTAAAATTGTCACTGTTGCAGATGACATGATGTGACACCTGGAAAATCCTAAAGATACCACCAGAAAACTACTCAGCTCAGTTCAGTTCAGCTGCTCAGTCACGTCCGAATCTTTACAACCCCATGGACTGCAGCACGCCAGGCTTCCCCGTCCATCACCAACTCCAGGAGCTTGCTCAGACTCACGTCCACCCAGCTGGTGATGCCATACAACCATCTCATTTTCTGTCGTCCCCTTCTCCTCCTGCCTTCAATCTTTCCTAGCATCTGGATCTTTTCCAATGAGTCAGTCTTCGCATAGGTGGCCAAAGTATTGGAGCTTCAGCTTCAGCATCAGTCCTTCCAATGAATTTTCAGGACTGATTTCCTCTGGGGTTGACTGGTTGGATTTCCTTGCAGTCCAAAGAACTTTCAAGAGTTTTCTCCAACATCACAGCTCAAAAGCATCAATTCTTCAGTGCTCAGCTTCCTTCATGGCCCAACTCTCACATCCATACATGACTACTGGAAAAACCACAGCCTTGACTAGACGGATCTTTGTTGGCAAAGTAATGTCTCTGCTTTTTAATATGCTATCTATGTTAGTCATAGCTTTCCTTCCAAGGAGCAAGTGTCTTTTAATTTCATGGTTACAGTCACCATCTGCAGTGATTTTGGAGCCAAGAAAAATAAAGTCTGTCACTGCTTCCATTGTTTCCCCGTCTATTTGCCATGAAGTGATGGGACCAGATGCCATGATCTTAAGTTTTCTAAATGTTGAGTTTAGAGCCAGCTTTTTCACTCTCCTCTTTCCCTTTCATCAAAAGGCTCTTTATTTCTTCTTCACTTAACTGCCATAAGGGTGGTGTCATCAGCATATCTGAAGTTATTGGTATTTCTCCCAGCAATCTTGATTCCAGCATGTGCTTCATCCAGCCTGGCATTTTGCATGATGTACTCTGCATATAAGTTAAATAAGCAGGGTGACAACATAC